TTTCGCTGGGAACCTTGGGGCATGGGGTCATCCCACTCACTGACACCATTCTGTTATGATAAATCTTTCCACCAAAAGCCGAGGAGCCCCACCACCACGTGTGTGCTTTATGCCAGCCACCTGCCAGAGTGATCTTAGTTACAATTTCCCTAGTGCTCCATGAGGATGGGAGACACCAACTGGCAGAAGAAACCCATGACTGAGAGAATAAGGGCCAGCCAGGCATTGGTGGCACACGCCTTTAATCCCAGCTCTCTGGAGGCAGAGGCAGGCAAATCTTTGTGAGTTCAAGACCAGCTTGGTCTATAAGAGCTAGTTCCAGGACAGCCTATAAAGCCACAGAGACACCCTGTCTCGAAAAACCTAAAAAAAAAAAAGAAAAAAAAAAGGAAAAAGAAAAAAAGAGAGAGAATAAGGGCCTCTTGAGGCCAGGTCCACAGTCTGCACTCTATCAGGATCAGTTACATTTTAATAAATCAAATTCCACCCTGATCTCAGCTCCCTACACTGCTTGAAGTCTTTCTGGATGTTCCTCTTGGAAAGTTCTCAAAAAGTAAAAATGAATCGCCATTCTTCTGGAGGCCCATAATGTCCCCAACTCTATGTAAAGCAGGAAATGAATGCAGTATGGTCTGGTGGCTAAGAGGATGACCTAGGTTCACATTTCAGTTCTCCTTTTCACTGAGCTATATGATCCTGAGTAGTGAAGTTACATGCCTGTCTCTCAATGCCAAATGATCTGGTAGTATTTTTTTCTTTCTGCCAAATGGATATCATCACAGAACTGCCTCACAGATTTTTTTGAGAACTCTATCAACAGTAGCCTAATGAGCCTCAAGGAACATATCTCAGTGTCTCGCGGATGCTCCAGAAACACTGGGCACATGCTACTATATGCAACTTGGGAAGTGATAGCTGTAATATATTTGGGGCCTTAGATCTCACGACGCTTTTGGTTTACATAGTGTACATATGTTTCCAGGAACTATATTCACACATTAATTCATTTCCTGCTGCACTTTGAATTGGGACATCTGTTGTTTCTGTGTTTAATCTTTCTGTTGCTTGGGACCAACTTGTTCTTTTGGGAAAGGCAGAGGAAGGGCTCAAAGCAGTGTCTGAGCCTGCAGAGCAATTGTGGCTTCTTTCCCAGGACACAGAGAAGACAGGACCAGAGGGAAGCATATGGCATTTCTTCTTCTGTTTGTAAATCTTGACTGTGAATGTTTGGTTATCAAATTATTCATTTACTTCAGCTGACATGAAATCATAATTACAATTACGGTAAACAACACACATCAAGATGGATATATTATAGAAACGTAATTATGAGGAGCAGCATATCACAAAGGAATATATTTGGTGTGGTTCTGTCATTAGATGTTCAAAATAAGCAAAACAACCAACATACTGTTTGGGGATGCAAATATTCATGAACAAATTATGATGAAAAGGAAGGAAGTAAGCACAGAATTTGGGAATGGCTGACTCTGAGAGGAGGGGGTGGAATCTATGGAGGCTACACACATAATTAGCAAGATAATTACTTCTTCGTTTTTCCTTAGTGTGGCAATGGAGTGCAGATGTGTTCATCATACCTGGATTATTCCTTATTGAAACAATTTGTTTAAAAATAATACAGGCTCCCTTCAATAGCTCAGTTGCTAGAGCAAAGGACTGTAAAAAGAATGCAGTATGTATTGTACCCACCAGAGGAAAGTGTCTGTGATTTGCTAGTGGAAGTAAAACAGACTTAGCCTAAGAACACTTCATTCCCTGTGCTCACAATACCTTTAGCTACTCAATTTGCAATTATACTGTTGTTTTCATATTTGCATTAAATTCTTACAGCCTACATTTATGTATTTAGAGTTTCTCTGGCATTGGAATCAGTTAGCAAAACAGTCATTTTGCATTTGCAACACCTCAGTTAGAACATTTTAGTTTTCATCAAACAACATATGAGTGCTCACAAGACGGCTCCATGGGTAAAGGCCCCTAAGTTACAAGCCTGACAACCTGAATTCCATCCCTGGAACCAAAGTTAAGGTTGAAGGAGAGACCCAACTCCACAGAGCTGTCTTCTGAGCTCCACTCATGCACTGTTACACATCATCCCAAACACACACACACACACACACACACACACACACACACACACACCATAACGATAAGTTGTTAACAATATGAGATTTGGGCACTGCTTTAGGTCAGCAGTATATTTATTTTTATTTAGTATTTGATTATATATTAGTATAACTATAACGTCAAGAAGCAGATAAAGGGCAGGCAAGACTTCAAAAAACTGACATGGAGAACTCTTAGAATCTGTAGGCTGCCCACGCTTACCCCATTGCATGCGGGTTTATGGTATTTTCCTTGTTGGCTTTTCGTAATTTGGGATGATATAAAATAGTAAATTTTCTATATGCACGTATACATGTATAAAGTTCTGTTTCCAGGAAAAAGCATACTCTGTATCTTTCTTTTCAGATCCTTACCTCAATGAAAAAGAAAAGTACTTCAAAGAGTCACCATGATACAATTGACAATTCTGCCAGTAGCAACATGTAGCTTTTTGGTGCTCATTTGTTTGTTTTTTTTTCTTGTACAAACTTAAAATTTAACAAATGCCTCTTCTCAAAATCAACCTTTTGATCTCCAGTTTTCTTTGTGAATCGGTGCATTAATGAGCTATTTTCAAACACTTGCTTTGGCTAATCTATCATCTCTCTTTACACATTTACATGGATTTATCAGTTTTAAAAGGTGGCTAGAAGATGGGAAATTGAGTAATAATATTTTGGATTTTTCTTCTCACACACAAAAAAAGAATCTCAACCAACAGATTTTACCAAGCAGATTACACTGAATTTTCTCATTTGACCCTCCATTAGACTACACCAGTTAACACATTTGTTGCATGTTACTGTACAGCAGGAATTTCCACATGTGTGTAGGTAGTTTTCAGGGTTCCCCATCAAGATTGCCATATGTGCATTTCACATGCATTAAATAAATATTTTGTCATCTGATGAAAGATTTTGTTTTTAACTTATAGTAGAAATTGTTCCACAAATCAAAAACATGTAAAGTAGTATGTGATTCTGAGCAAAAGATTCTGTAAATGCTCGATTACATAACTGTTCACTTTGGCCAAAGGGGAACAGGTATATGGTCAAGGCAAATGTGTTCAACAGGCAACTAAGCAGTCATCCCACTAATATGGTATCTACAAAAGACTGGGGTGTTTTGATTGATTGTTTGCCTAGAAGTGCCAGAAGATAGCCCAGAAACCTAGGACACACAGAGGGATCCATAGTAGTCTTGCTGCCACTGTTCCGGATGGTCTGGCTTGAGTCATACAGTAGCTGTAACTTTTGGACAACATCAGACAGCTGTTAGGAAAATTTGTTTGATGGACCAGTGTGTTTAATAACAACACTTGGGAAACTTACATTCCAGCTGCTCAGCCATGCCTTCTTTTATTTATGGTTTGGAGAAAAACAGCCTAAAATATTTCCATCACCGGTGAAATTGGGGAGCTAGAAATTTCCATAGCTCTGTCCGGAGAAGGTGAAGCTCCAGCGGGAACGGAAGAGTCTGAGTCTTTCTTGTTTACCATTGTCTGTTCGCTGGATGAAGACTGAAGATCCCTCTGCTGGTGTAGGCTGGTCTTGCAGCTACCTTAATGGCTTCCATTTTCTGAGTGCACCAGGCCCTCTCCTAAACATGGGAAGCCCACCAAGCCCCATTTTATTTATTCTTTGCAGGTTTGCCAGGTCTCCAAGGTCCTGCTGGTCTCCCCGGAGCCCCAGGCATCTCCTTGCCCTCAGTCATAGCAGGACAGCCTCGTGACCCCGGGCGCCCAGGCCTAGATGGAGAACGAGGTTAAAAAAAAAAAAAAAAAAAAAAAAAAAAGAAGCCCTAAATAGAACTGGCCAACCTACTTTGATATTTGCATACATGCTTTATATAATGCAGTCCTTTCCCTGCTGCTGGATATGCATGGATCTGCTTGGCCACAATTTATTCCCTTCTATTAAGATATCAGGGGCTAGAACTGGCTGCCTTTTGCTGAGGTGTTTCCAAAAGCCAGGGCATAGAGACTCCAAGGACAGCAACAAAAACACCTGAACTAGGAATGGACTTTGGTTACCCAAGTCTTTAGGCCTTCCCCAGCGTTCCATCTTCCTGCACTTCATTACGGTTCCAATCTCATCCCTAGGCCGCCCAGGCCTTCCAGGACCTCCAGGTCCTCCTGGGCCATCCTCAGACCAAGGCGACTCTGGAGATCCTGGCTTCCCTGGAATTCCAGGCCTTCAAGGGCTCAAGGGAAACCAAGGACTTCCGGGTTTCTCTGGCCTCTCTGGTGATCTAGGGCTGAAAGGTAAGTCTGCTCCACCTGTTGCAAGACACATCAGTCACCACTGCTCCCTCCTGTGGCCCTGAACAGGCCTGTGGACAGTGTGCTTCCTGCCCAGCCTCCAGCACCACCATGTCAACACCTGACTTGTTTTCCTTTGGCCCTTGCCAGGCATAAAAGGGGAGCCTGGCCTTATGGGGACTCCTGGCAAGGTCGGGCCACCAGGAGACCCGGGATTTCCTGGGATGAAGGGGAAGGCGGGGCCAAGAGGTGAGTGCAGGGCAAGTTCTGGGTCAAGCCCGAGCTGTGGAGGGAAGGGGGGAAGCATGAGGCTGAGGTTCTTTTAGAAGCCATGCTGTCCAATCACACCACAAAAGCAACTAGAGAATCATGCACCCCAACCCAGGAGGTAGTTTCTCTACTTCGGAGATGCTTCTGTCTCCATCTGCTCCCAGGAATGAAAGTCCTCACTGCTTGGCTGCCTTGGGTCCTGCCACTGACCTCTGTCTATAGTACCTCTGCATCGCATCTAAACCACTACTCTCATTTTCTCAGCTCAGGAAAGAAGCAACATTCTATCCTCAAGCCAAATCCCAACCTAGGCATTCAATGGTCCATCAGCAGCCCCTGAGGGCTGTAACCCCTAACAGGCCTTGCACTTGCTCACTTTGCACCAAGTCGGCTGCTACATCGAGGCCCAAGCCATTAGCATTTCTCATATAGCACCTTTCCTCCCCAAACAACAACCATTTTTTTCACATACAGTTGCCAGTGAAAAACAAATGATTCTATTCATGGCATAGAAATGAACTAACTATAGCCCATAAAATCAAGTGCGACACCTCCCTTTTCATCCTCATGCCAGTCTGTCCCCTTTACTGCTCACTGGACTCTCAAATAGTCTCCCAATTACCTTTATTTTGCCACCTTCTCTCCTTCTTACTAGTTCCCTTCTCCCTGGTTGTCCCATCTTCTGTTTATGTCATATATATGTATTTTGTATATATCTCACATAACATGCTGTTTGCTATCCAGTGCTATCCATTTGCTTGTAAATGACATACTTCTCTTTTCTTTATGACTAAAGAAAATCCTTTCATGTATATGTGCCATATTTTCTTTGTCCGTTCATCTGTTAGTGGATACTTAGACTGGTTCCAAACCTTGGCTATTGTGAATACTACAGGGATAACCACGGATGTGCAGATATCTCTGTGGTATGCTGACTTGGGAGTCCTGGGAGTATATTACTGGGACTTGTACAGCTGGCAATTCTACTTTTCTGAGGAGCTCCAATATTGATTTCCACAGTGCCTGTGCTAGTTTACATTCCCATCGGTACTGTATATGTTTCCTGATTCTCTCTTGCCCTTCAGTTCCTTCAATGTCTATCTCCTTCTGATACTTCCGATGCTTCAATAGTTTCAGCTAAACAGCCAGTGGTGATGAAAATCCACCGATGACTCTAAAGCAGACCCCTCTACCTATACTCCCATGTTCCCTCCCATTATAGCTGCACTCCTCATTTCCTTCACAGTTCTTCTTAAAATGTACATGATGGGGTTAATGGTATTTGTCAAATGGTGCATTGTTCATCTTCATCACTAGGCCACAATCTCCATAAATGCCCTCACTGCTCTAGTCTCACACCTCCCAGGACCTTGGCATATAGTGAGCACCCAAGAAACACTTACTTAATGAATTAGTAAACAAGTTGCTCTACTTGTAAGGCAGCTGACTTGGGCAGGTCTTTAGGCTGGGATACCAAATGCACTCCTGGGCTGGTTACATCTCTACAGCATCTTTGGTACTGCATTACGATCAGCGTGTAAGTAAATAACTGCTCCATCCCTGAGCCAGGACTCGGCCTACTAAATCTGCAGCAGACAACTGCTTGTCCTAACTGCCTTCCACCTAGTAGATTCCATACTGAGCTATGGGGAGTCAAAATGGATGTGACTTGCTCCCTTACCTTGCCCACAAGGACCCACTACAAAGGAGTCAGGGAAAAGAAGGGCCCATCGTGGGTTATGTGACCTGTCCTGGAGGCCTCAAGTGGGAATTGTGAGCACAAAAGAAAGAGCAGATAGTTGGTTACTGCCAGGCAGAGAGAGGGACATCTGTGCTGCCCCTTTGCTCCAGCCTGACACTGCTATTTCACCACCTGCCCTCAGGCTTTTCCGGCCCCCAGGGTGCTCCAGGACACACACCAATTTCTGAAGCTATCCAGGTTCCTCCAGGGCCTCCGGGTCTTCCAGGCATTGATGGCATCCCTGGCCTCGCTGGAGAACCTGGGCCTCAAGGTTCTGTGGGTCTGCAAGGTGAGAATGGCACCAGAGAAAGGGAGCTAGCGCCTGGGAAGCTGAGAGGCCTTGGTTGAGAGGTTGACTCTACTTCCTGGCTTGGCCTGGTTCTGAGAAGCTACCTTCATTAAGCATTACCCTTGCTACTTCACAAGGCTCCCAAACTCCTTGCCAGGGAATGGAAAAGCCAGAAAGCCAGTGGGGCTGTGTTTATAGTTGTCTTCAGAGAACAAGTGAGTCTCTCCCCTAGGTAGCTAGCCATCTCTAAAGTTCTCTTTGGAGATAGAGATGTGGTGAGTGACAAATGGGAGCACACAGGCGTGGAGAAAGCATGAGGACTGGGGACAGGAAATCTGGCTTCCAAGTCCTAGCTTTGTCCTAACAGCATGGGTTCTTACTCTCCCTGGGACTTCACATGAGTCTTGCGAGAGAGACTCTGGAACTTCCATACTGAGTCCTCGTCTACCTTGCGGATTTTTGCTCCCACAGGTTCTAAAGGTCTCCCTGGCATCCCTGGCAAGGATGGGCCCAGTGGGCTTCCAGGCCCACCTGGAGTCCTTGGTGATCCTCTTCTCCCAGGACTACAAGGACCTCCAGGATTTGAAGGTGAGGTGAAAAAATCTGGAGACTTAGTCAACCCTGTGGTGAATTTGCCACTATGAGAGGGCTCACAGGCTGAGTTCTTGTCTGTCTTAATGTTTTATTGCTGTGAAGAGACACCATGACCAAAGCAACTCTTATGAAAGAAAGCATTTCACTGAGGGCTTGCTTACAGTGTCAGAGGTTTAGCCCTTTATCGTTATGGAGGGGAGCATGGCAGCAGGTAGGTAAGTACTGGCGCAGTAGCTGAGAGCTATATCCTGATCTATGGAGGCAGGGGGAGGGAGAGAGACCGTTAGCTGAGTTTGAGCTTTTGAAACCTCCAAACCCACCCCCAGAGAGATGCTTCTTCCAACAATGTCACACCTCCTATCTTCCTCAAATAGTGCCTATGTAGTCAACTATATGGGCCTATGGCGGCCATTCTCATGCAGAGTTCTACATTGTCCTTCTATTCACACTGCACAGCCTCCAACCTATGAAGGGGAGTCCTGCATGATTCAAGAAGGCAACAAACTTTTCCAAATCCTTGTCAAATTCTTGTCTGGGTTCTCCAATTTTTTTTTTTAATTTCTTGACCAGGATCTTGCTGCATGGTCCTGTTCGCACTCAAACTCACTTGCGTCAAACTTCTGGTCTTCCTGGCTTTGCTTTTCATGGCTTTCTGTCTTACTCTGACATGAATAGAGAGGTAGCTCAAGCAATAATGTTGGAGATGAGGTATATCTGCTCTTAGCTCCACTACTTATCCTCCCTTTTATATACCAAGGACAACAAATCACTTGTCCTTGGTAGAGAATACTTCGGAGGCTCAGTAGTAAAATGTTGCAGTTCAATTCATATCCACCATGGACAAGAGAGGCAAATGAAGCCTTGTCCTTCTAATGCTAATGTTATTCATAATGCTTCTGATTCAGCAGCTAGTTATGTCCTGTGAGATACTTCAAGGCTGGGTATGAGAAGGATTCCACTACCACTTACTCTCAGAATCTAAGGCCAGCTGTCTGGAGAAGGGTAATGGATGGTGTACTCTTGAAAAATGGGAACTATGGAGCTGGACGCACGAGTTGGAGTTCTAGCTCACTGATCTTCTAGCTGTGGCTGCTTCAGTTTCCTCATCTGCAGAGTAGCCTGCTAATAGTGCCAGCTCCTGGGGACATCAGGATCAAGTGGCTCAGCCCATGTATATGATGGGCCTTACACTATGTTTAGGACCAATGAGTGGCTAGTGTCACTATCATCTGCACCATACTTACTTGTCTGTTCTTTTCTTCTCAGGAGCTCCAGGGCAACAGGGTCCCTTTGGGAGGCCTGGGATGCCTGGGCACAATGTGAGAGTGGGCTACACACTGGTCAAACACAGTCAGTCAGAACAGGTGCCACTGTGCCCAGTCGGGATGAGCCGGCTGTGGGTGGGTTACAGCTTGCTGTTCGTGGAGGGGCAGGAGAAAGCCCATAACCAGGACCTGGGTAAGTACTGGCTCTGACATCCAGTCCTTGTTGCCTATCCCTACAAGGACTGAGAAGTGACCTCTTCTCACTACCTTTTAGACCCATGATTGTGAAGTAGGCTACATGCACTTAGCTCTGGGCTTCAAAGTATTTGGGCTCAAAGTCCTACTACTGCAGAGCCATATACCTTGGGTAAATTATTAAAGCTCTCCAAGCTTTCATCCTCCCTTAATGGGACTAAGCTATTTCCAGTACATGACACATAGAGTGGTATAGGATTCATGAATCACATAATGTAAAATATATTTAAGCCTCCATTAAGTATTAGTGATTAGTTATAACAATAGTAACATGACCTGCAGGGCAGTGATGATTACTCCAGGATTAATTGCGTTAGCAGCAGGTGTGCTAACCCTTAAATGTCAATTGCATCTATTGAATGTTAGTTTTACAAAGCAGATTAATTAGGGAGTGATTATTCACTTTATCAAAAGATTCTCATCATTATTCAACTCCCCTGGTACATTTATGAAACGATCTGATCCTCAAGCTCCAACATGTAGCAGAGTCACCGGGCTATACAGAGAGAGCCGTCCTGCTCTGAGCAAGCCTTTAGATGGAAAGTCACAATCTCAGTTACTCCAGGCCTTGTGCCCCTGCCGCCCATTAGCCAGCACTGACCTGCTCCTTGCCCATCTTCTCTTGCCAGGATTTGCTGGCTCCTGCCTGCCCCGATTCAGCACCATGCCCTTCGTCTACTGCAACATCAATGAAGTGTGCCACTATGCCAGACGCAATGACAAATCCTACTGGCTCTCTACTACTGCCCCCATTCCCATGATGCCTGTGGGCCAGACCCAGATTCCCCAGTACATCAGCCGCTGCTCTGTATGTGAGGCACCGTCACAAGCCATTGCTGTGCACAGCCAAGACATCACCATCCCCCAATGCCCTTTGGGCTGGCGCAGCCTCTGGATCGGTTACTCCTTCCTTATGGTAAGGCCTTGAACCATTGTGTCTGGCCCTCAGTGCAGACACAGAGATAGGGGTAGGAGAGAAGAGCTCAGGGAAGGGCCTTCCCCCTTGATCCCAGGCTCAAGGGACACTTTGAATTTAACAGGAAGAGACATGAAGATGTGAATTATGAAGCATTATGGTTGCGGGGGTGGGGGAAGAGTGCAATCTGAACCTGGTGTTCTGGACTGAGAACACGTATG